TTTTTGTTATCTTAATTTCCCCAAAAATAACAATTATTATGTTGAACTTTTAGTTTAAAAATCAGATCCCTAATTTTAATAATTAATCTTAGCTCGTAATCTCTCCCGAGTTAGTCTGTCTCGCTAGAAAAGTATAACGTTAAAAAAATCCATTAATTTTTAATCTGAAGCCGCAAGTTTGAAGTCTCAGTTGTATGTATTGTTAATTAAAAGATTAAAGTCTCTTTCAAGCCTCTTTCGTATTTTAATATTAATCGCAACTTCGTGAGTTTCGATCGCGTATTATAATGGAAGATGATATATTGCGAATAAAAAATTGATAGAGTCGTTCATTACTTCAACATACTCCTCGCTTTCCCGAAATCTTGATAATTAGGATCCTTATTCTTAAAAAAATCAGATTCTCGATATTAATAGTTAATCTTAACTCGTAATCTCTCTTGATTCGATCGTTCGTTGCTTCATTATTGTGTTTGCAATTTTACACACAATGTATGCGAAAATTAATTATTGATAAGGGATATATGCGGGTGAAGAAAATCTCGGAAAACGATGCGTGAAAGCGAGACGTCGGGTCGTTCGACGACTTTAGAGACGGGCCTCGACGATTCTGTCGGCAATTGTGCATTTTTCACTTTCTTTCGTGCGAACGGGGTCCATTAATCGTCTGCCATATCCATTCACTGAAAAAGAGAGGGCCGGCTTAAAAGCGCCGCGAGAGCGCGTCCGCTTTTCCTCCCACATCTCGCGCGACTTTTCTCGCCGGAGCGCGGATTTTATAACAACGCATCTCCCGCTTGACTCTGACACTCTCGCACACATGTGGAGGGAAAGGGGAGCTTCTTGTTAATATCGAACGAAAGTAAAAACTTTCATTCGACGTTGAATGGCGGTCGGGCGCGCTTCCTAGGAAGAAGATCTGCGTTACGTATTCGATCGCGTATGTATGTAGCTTGTGGTACCCCAGTGAGGTCGCGACACTTTACGAGAGATACTTGGATAACGCTCTCACAACTTACTTTCAATATGTTTTCAGTGCATTCACATAGAGCGTTATTCTGTGGATGCTACTTACAAGTGTCCTTAAATAATGTTTGTAATAATTACAAGTGGCAAATTAATCCCGATTCTGATACACTGGCTGGCGAAATTAATCAAATTTTTCACAAATTCGAAGAAACTATTATTTATTAAAGATATATTATATTTTAGATATATATTTATATTTCTTCTTGATAATGTAGCTATAGAAATCTCTCTTTCAATCTTAAAAAGAGAGATTTCTATAGCTACATTATCAGGAAAAAATACAAATATACATATATCTAAAATATAATACATCTCTAATAAATAATACTCAACTTTTTTTCTCTCTCTATTATATTATAAACTTTTATAACGTTTTTATAAAAAACTATTTGATCAATTTTGCAAATAGTATTTTAAATCATATAGAACTAGAATGTCGATTTGACTAATGTATTTGAATTCATTTTATAATACAATATTCTTTAATTGAATAACATTGAAAAATATTAAATACGGGAAATATTTTCTAGTTTTAATATTTTTGTTGTTCTTTGATCATGTGCGTTTATAAGCTTTCTATTATTTAGTTAATTGATAACAGAAACGATAAATTGTGTATGAATATTTAAACATGAATGTGAACTTTAAGCACAATTTGATTCGACGAGCGTATCTATAACATAAAAGTTATTATCATTGAGAAAACGATACTGGAAATAACTAATCTTTTTTTATAAATACCTTATGGGAGCCATTTTTCTTTATAATCCCATAAGACTTTCTGGATAGTAGGTTGGAACAGAAATTGATCGGTTGTTGGCCTACATCTTCAATTTCCTTTTGTTCCTTAATGTGCAGGTTCTCGAATCTCTCTGGAGGTTTCCTGCTCAGAGAATTTGATTGATTTGCTACGATTTCCGTGGAATTTCAACGGAGTTCGGCGATGCCGACTAGAAGCTCTTCCCTAGAGTAGATATAGATATTTAAGGATCAAAAGAGAAGATTAGCTCTTGGTCTCGGTGAAAGTACGTCATTACGACGTTCATCGTGATCATTGGACTTTGCTTAAATTGCATTGGAAATAAGACGCCCATCTGTCGATTTCCACAGTAATTATGAGATCTCATCGTGACGAAAATTGTAGGCGGCGAAATCGTGATTGTGGTGACAAAAAGAGAGGAAAATTATTGGATAATTTTACATCCTACAATTCTCAACATTAATCACAAATTATTTCTGACAAATTTGAATGTCACTAAATTATATATTGCTTATCCATTCACTTTGAAACTAAATAAGAGATATCACGTTATGAGATATTTTAATATTTATTAATATTTCGTATATTAATAAATATTAAACCATTAAATATTTTATTAAACCACATTTATTATTATTATGTATTTTGCTTTTGCAAAATTATCATATTTAAGTCAATATTATTTATTTCTGGTAATGAATATTTGTTTTTTAACAAAGTTAAACAAAAATTTATTAAACTTGGATTGTGAAAAACAGGAAATATTGTTTTCGTTGTTTTTAAAATTAATTTTAATATGTACAAACATTACTAATATTTTACACACATACATACATATGTGTGTGTGTGCATACATAAATTATTAAATTTACTATCAGTTTTATTAATAAAATGACAAAAAAGTTATTTTATTTAAAAGCTTATTTAAATGAGTATTATTTATAGTAGATTAACCGCGATCACAATTTTTTCGATATTTTCTCGATATTTTAAATATTCTAATAATTTTTCTTCTCTTTACAGTCTCTTTAAAACCAAGTTTAATAAATGGAACAGAATTCATAATTTTAAAGCTGAGAATATTAATTAGTATTTTTTAAAACTCGTTTATTTTATTTCTCTTTATATAGCGTTGATAACGCAATATTGATAATTAAATTGATAATTAAATGTTGATAATTAAACACTGATAATTAAACATGCACAATTAAACTGAGATAATTAAATATTTCTGATAATATAATACACTATATTAATATTATAAAATAGAACATAATTACAATTCGAAATAACTCAAGAGAGGATTAGATTGAAAATTCCCTTAGTTTGATCTTTAGCAATCTACTTTTGTTGTTAAATTAATTTATATAATTTATGCAATTCACAAAAAGAAACCGTCTTATTACTATCCTTTAGCAAGTCAGTTAACAGAAGCCGAAATAGCTCAGTTGGGAGAGCGTTAGACTGAAGATCTAAATGTCCCTGGTTCGATCCCGGGTTTCGGCAGGTTACTTTTTTTGCACACTAGATAATTGACAGAAATGGAGACGGATTCGATCTTTATTTAAAAGAAAAACTATTTTATATTTCACTATATTTTTTATACATATAAATCTTTTTTTTTTGCGTTGTAAAAATTTTTTTATTTTTTCATATATTTTGTCATTTTTTCATATATTTCTTACTAATAAAAAATACTTTAATATATTAAATGATAATTTTGAAAAATTTACAATTCCGTATATAATTATTAAATTTGACATATACATTGGAGTTTTGAGCAAATTTATATGACAAAATTAATTATCGAGGAATAAATAATTACAGATATTTTCTCCGCTTTAATTAATTAATTTGCTAGATCTTTCAGCTAAATGTTAAGATCCTTAAGATCATGTTTAAATAAAATGGCTATTAATAAATTATTACGTATACGAATCAAGAGATTTCTCTTTGTGCTTGTATTCTCTTAATGCTTGTAAAGCCGTCGACCTAGCCCCAGGCGCCGATTGTATCATTCGCGTGAGCAAGGATGCGATTATATCGATAATAATGGTTCTCGATGCAGAAGTCAGCAACGCGTAATTCACGATTCAACGACCTGTTCATTGAGTCTGAATCGGTGAGCTGCGTATATGTTCGGTAACTAAATTATACGCGCAGATTGCAATTACACACATTCATTGCACGTTCACTTGCTTGTTGACGATGAGGCAAGATATTTGACGCGGCTGACACATGTCGCAATAGCCCCATTGTACGTTAGAAGTATTAACATTAAGCTTCTCTCACATTTAATAGATTATACAGAATATTTCAAAATCGGTGTGTCGCTTCTCTCACGATGTGTCTTTCACGAATCCTTCGGGAAAAGGATTTTTTTTCTCCATAACAGGGATGTGTCATGCACAAAAGTGTAAACACTTTTTGAATAAAACTAAAAATATAAATACACTCTACTTGAATAAAAATAAAAATACACTCTATAGTTTTTTTTTAATCTTTTCACAGTTTTATATCCTTTCACAGAGAATTATCTCTTTCAATAAATTACTGTTACAATGGAACATGGAATTCGTGTTTGGATTTCGATATGACCAAAGTAAATATTTGTTGCGAAATATTAATAGGTATGTTCATCAATCATTATCATGGACTATACAGCGTATATTACCTAACGCTGTATTGCATATTTATCGGTCATAATTATGTATACGCCCGTTCCAGATTCGAACTCTTCGATCTGGACCAGTTTCCTACGCGCACGCGTTTCCCTCTTGAAATTTCGACAACTGCCTTCTCTTATCTTGTTTATTACCTCATCGACCGACATAGACCGATATTGCTCACGGCATGAAACGCGCCGCTCTCCTAGAACAATTACCTTTTAATTAGATTTCTGTTTCGGAAACACCGAATATTTCACGAAGCTATTCTAAACATTGATGCAGTATTTTAGTGTCCATTTCATTTGACATTTTATTTGTAGAGAGAGAAATATTGTAACCGATTATTTCTATTAATTTGATTATATTAACATTCATTTCTTTTTTCATTCTGATTTAAGAAATTTTTGTTTCGAGAATACTTATCATTAATAAAATTTAAAATTTTGTTATCATAAAATAATATTATTATCGTCATAATATTATTATTGTAATTATTATTATTATATCTTGCTCAAAAAATAATATTCCGATATTATTTGCAGAGTCGTGGCTGACGATCTATCAAACATGTTGCGGCTTATGGTCCTATTCTTTCTATGTAAGTATATTTTGAATTTCTATATTATTTTCCATTAATATGTAGATACAATTTCGATAAGTCAATATTATTGGAGAAACCGTAATAAAACAGGTATATTTATCCAATTGATCCTGCAATAATAGGATAACAAATATAACAAATTTCTATATTACTGATACTTATAATATAATTTTAATTGAATAATCACAGAGATTTTATTTTATAAAAGTTTGTAAAAATCGTGTTTCTAGAAAATTATTTTTTATCGATACACATCTCTTTTATATTTATCTTATTGTTAAATAAATGATACATTTAAAGAAAAATAATTTTTTTCTGTCTGAAATTTTTGTTTTTAATAATTATAGTTTTCTTATCACGATTTTTTTTAGATGTATAAATCCGCTATAAAAATATATGTAATATGGAAATATTCAAGAGATAATTTGCATTTATATCGAGATAAAATAGGTTTTTAGCAAATTACTACATCCTTTACAATGTCAAATATTACATGCAATCTATCGACAGAGAAGCAAATGCATATTGATATTAAAAGCAGTGTCATCGGATCAAACGTATATATCGCGCGACACACACACGTTCCTCGCAAATCGTAAGCTTCATTCTTCAATGAATCAATTCATTCCTGACAAATAAACGAAATAAAAATATCCTCTTTCGAGCTTGTACGTATTCAGGTCGTTTTCTTTTTCTCGTCCTTTATCTTCTTCACGGTTGTCTGGCATTTAAAGGATCGGTGGGAATACGAGGATACAATCGGCGAAATGGCATTTGCGCGCGCGTGTGCACCTTGGTGATGGTCATCGGCCATCGGTGGTGGACAAACGATTAATGTCACAATCAGTTTTGCCGCGCAGGTGTATGTTTTATGCATGTAAGTGAGAGAGATTATCCGATATTTTTATTTATTATTTTTCTCCCTTATCGCCACCGCTTATCTATGCTTCGGTGGCCGATAATTATAGACCAATCGTGCAGCCATATCTCTGACAAGCGTGGGAGAGCCGTGGCATCCTGTCGCGCGTGGATAAAGTCAAGGATTTGCTTCCGTGGCGAAGGTGAATCCGACGGAGGATCTCTCTCTCGCTCTCGGGATTTATGGCCGTTTATACTCGTCGTTTCTCTCTTCTACGCCGAGGAGCACGGCACACAATCTGCGGTACAGGAAGATCGATGTTGTTGACTCACCGACCATTCACGCGGCATTTGTCACCACGCTTGTCGTTGCCTCTAGAAATATGGAAATTTTATTTGCCTTCTCCGGGAATTTGCGTACAAAAGGCTCTCAGGGAAATGGCACACTTAAGAGCCGCGTAAGATAAAACCGTGTGTGAGAGGCAATTAAGTGATATTTATTAACAAACTTGATTGTGTTTTCGACTAAATTCCCACAGTGTTTTTAAAAATACGCTGCACGTATATTTAATTATAATGAAAGTTTTTTCATCTGTCGTTCATTAAATCTTTTTCGTTCCTTTCTCCAAGAAATTAACGTAATTTTATTTTATATAATTTTATTTTATATGAAAATAAATAATAAGAAATTGTTAATATTATCTACATGGATTAAAATAATTCTTTCAAATGATGCGGATAATTAGAAGTAAACAAATCCCATGTGAAGAAGAATCTAGTAATTGAGAAAAAAATAATATTAAATCTCATTAACGATATTTGATCTTGTATTTTCCGACAGGATTTTCCGTAAAATTTCATGCGCCGCAACGTGTTACTCTCGCAATAATGTAAAATGGAGAGATATTGGATTAAGTGAAGGACCTACTGAATGTAACGTTTGAGAAACCTCTCGTCATAGCGTAGTAGAAAAGTTGGCGACTACTTCGTTGGAAATGCGCGATTCGATATCCGGAACTTAGCGCAAGTATGCGCGGAAAATTTTTCATCGCCGCGAAAGTTCGTCGCTTTACCTTCATGAAACTTTGCACGTTTTCCGCGATCTCGTAGAGAATTTCGCGGAGCAAGTTACGACTTCGTCCTATCACTTTTTACCCATCTTTAGTACTCCGTCGCGTCCTAACATTTTCCAATAACGTTCCGTATGGCTTTATTTTCGATGTCGTTAAGTTTCTCTTTATCTTCTCGGGGAGCTTTTGGAGTTTCGAGTGCTTGGGCCATTGCCAGAATCGACAATCAGGCCATCGACTTTCGGTTGAAAAATTATGTCTCATTTGTGCACAATTAGACAAGATTAATAAATATGTGATATTTGAGCAATTTTCAAACTATATTTATACATTTTTCAAACTATATCCGCACACACATACAGCGGGAAGCATCTTTATGAGAGTAGTGAAAATATTTGTATGCTTGGAATGACGAAGAGTATGTATAGTATTGCCTGCTTTATTAAATACCGTGCGAATTTCTAATACCAGCGCGTCAAATGCGCAAAACATCAAAGGCGATGGCCCCTGAACTCCACCCCAGAGCTTTTACGTTCTGTTTATATAACGTGTCACGGCTGTCACGCGCTTTCTCTCGATTACAAATCCTTTTACGACTGCCATGGTGGTAGTTTAATTGAATATCACAATATTTCCTCAATTTTCAATAGAGCACATTCTTACAATAACTCGATCGAAGAATAAAATCAATTCAAAGTCGATTCTTGAATGTAGAAAAATAAATATTATAATTATATTATAATTATATTATATATTATACTTATTCGTGAAACATTTCTTTTATTTTTTATTCAGCGAAGATGTTTGAGATAATCAAACATTTTTTTAATTGCAAATATTTCATATCTATCAGTTATCTCGAGTCTTATTTAACATAGAAATATAAAAATATTGTAGTATAAAAAAAAGAGCGAACGTTTTTTAAAAATAAACGTTTCATGTTTCCTTCACTTCCCATAGTTATTTTTTCATTTTTGGCATTCTATCGATGTATAGACATGTATTATGTATATGTGCATGTGTGCGCAATTGTTCTCCCCTACATATATCGTTATTTCCGATACGCATATTCAAAATGCTCTTGAAAAAAAACCGTTTCAACTTTTTCGTTGTTGAATATGTAAAGCGCGCCGGTTGCAGGTAGAATAGAATGGCTCATAAGTCAAAAATAAATTTTGATAAGTTCGATATAATGTTTTTCTTCTTTTCCTCTTTCTATTTCCTATTTTCGATATATTTGTATCAGCGGCTGTGATCTTGTTCCGCGTATAGTTTACCCGTGTCGAATAAAGAAAAGAAAGAGAGGTCATGATGTACACAATCTCTATCATAATACCCGCGGGATTATACGGATGTATCGATCGTATGCGATCCTGCCGGGTGTGCTTTGTTGATAAAGCTTCTTTATTCAACGATGAAAATAGCCTGGACGTTGCTGTCGTCCACCATTTTCGTAAGCTTGTAGTACGAATGTAGCGACTACGCAAATATATGCTATGGTCTCTATAGAACAACTTGTGTATAGAACGTTCGGATTATAGACGACCGCGACTCGTTGACCTAATTTCGCAAACAGGGCGAAACACATGATGGTTTAATCCCAACTCTAATTCCTGCTTCCGACTTTCAGATATCGCTGCCACTTACACACCTGGCCACTGCGAAGCAAGGGTAAGTGTTATTCTTTCTCTTTTTGTTTCTCGAATTTATACGAAATACACGAAATAAAAAAGATATATCTTTCTAATATTTATTTTTATTTTTATTTCATATCTTTATTATTTATCATTGTGTGAGCGTAATTTTATTTAAAGTGGATACATCTTTTTTACACAAGTGTAATCGATATATGTTTATATATAATATTAATTCAGAACAAATGTTAATAATCTTATATAAATTTCTATATATTCAAATATATTCAAATAATTCAAATATAATCATGAATAAAAGAATAGAAATCATTTTTGTCACTGAAAGCTCCATTTACATATCAAAAATGAATTTATCTCATGAATATAAAAATCTTTTAATCTTATCAAAAATAAACCATCTTGATTCTATTAAATATTAGAATATCGTACGAAATGCACTTTTAACTTTAAATTATAAAATGTGCTATTTATATTCAAAGGACGTCAAATATTCTGATGTTGAGAAAAATAGATTGAGAAGCTATTTTTCGCAACATTTTTTAGAGTATGAAATTATTTTCGCATCATTAGTCTAGGCTTGAATCTATTAATTCAACTCTTCTACTAATTAATTATTTTTTTATATACATTAATTTTACATAATCTCTTTCTTACCTATTCATGCGAAATTACTTTTTCCCGTTGTAATTGAAACTTTAGTTAAATCTGAGATTAATTTTATAACTAACCTCGCGGATTTTGTATAACTTTCAATCTTCATTCGCTCAATTTCACGAAAATGTCATTTAATTTACACTATATAGTGATAATTTCAGTACAGTACGCGATATTTTCCAAGTTTAATATTAAATTTCCGACTTTCGTACAACTCAAAGTTGGCGCACAAACGATGAAGTCTTTATATTCAGGAATTATCCCTCTCGCTATCGGCTTTCGTAGATTCGCCGGACGCGAGTTTAATCGATAGTTTAAAAACACTCGTCGGAATATTTATCGTGGATTCCCTCTTAATTCTGTAAAGAAGTAGTAAAAGCGACCGAGAACGCAATGTTCTCGTAAATATTCAAGCGGTGCTAATCTGAAGACCGTGCGATTCCAATCAGGCGGCTCTTTGGACGCCGAAGTTAATTAGGCGGGCTAAGTAATTAAAGTCCCTGCGGCCCTTATTTCAAGTAATGCAATTTAACTTTCGTGGAATTTCATGCGGGCGGTGTACGCGACGGTTATTGCAACGATTTACGATTCGCGAGCGATCGATTCGGAAGAGGGCAGTGGTCGCCAACGTACACTTTTTTTCGCATTCGTTTACATAGGTGTAACGCGGATTTTAAATTACGCGCAAGGGCAGATGTATAATTAAAGAGAGAGACAATTCTCCAGCGAAAAATCGCTCTCGAGTGAAATTACATACAATGTTCGTCGCTTTGAAGTCGCCCTAAGCGTCTCTAATAAATGCGACAATGGTCAATACAACCGGATCGATACGCAACGCGCGTTTACCGTGATTTACGCGAAGCGTAACGCGTAACGCGTAGGGAACGGCGTGCGGGGGGTCTGTATGTAGCGAAATTTAATCAAACTTTCGGCATCCCGTGGGATATACGAGTTGTGCAGTATCGAATTTCATCGCGTGTGCGGGATATAATGGCGCGTTCTCTCGTTCGTCGCGTTTTCGTTCCCGTCCGTCGTATAGTTTCGCCCATGCAAAATCGATAGCGCTTAATGCACTCGTTGAACTCGTTCGAGCGTGCGAGTGCATAAATTGATTTCTCTAATTATTAACACTTCACTATACGAGCGATTCAAATGTCCGTATATATCTGAATATCGCGAGGATCTGAAATTTTTTTTTCTTTTTTTTTAGCGGGCTTCTCGTATTCTCTAATATATATAATCTAGCGGACTAAATCCTGGCTTCATTTATTCGTTTTTCGTGAATCTCGCGAATGGCTACGTCGGTGAAAAAAAAGATTGCTAACTAGGATTGATACATTGACGTTCTAACCACGCTTGACTTTATAAGTTTCTGATCAAAGTTATCTTGATGCTAAAATATTAACTTTGATGAAAAATGTTAAGATGATGTCAAAATTGACACAGATTTAATTTAATGAAGCTAATAATGAGTTGAGACAAATTTGGCTTCATTTATTCGTTTTTCGTGAATCTCGCGAATGGCTACGTCGATGAAAAAAAATATTGCTAACTAGGACTGATACATTGACGTTCTAATCACGCTTGACTTTATAAGTTCTGATTAAAGTAATCTTGATGCTAAAATATTAACTTTGATGAAAAATGTTAAGATGATGTAAAAATTGACACAGATTTAATTTAATGAAGCTAATAATGAGTTGAGACAAATTTGGCTTCATTTATTCGTTTTTCGTGAATCTCGCGAATGGCTACGTCGATGAAAAAAAATATTGCTAACTAGGACTGATACATTGACGTTCTAATCACGCTTGACTTTATAAGTTCTGATTAAAGTAATCTTGATGCTAAAATATTAACTTTGATGAAAAATGTTAAGATGATGTAAAAATTGACACAGATTTAATTTAACGAAGCTAATGAGTTGAGGCAAAAAATATCATTTTCTCCAAAAAGAAATGAATAAGAGGCGTTTATATTCATTTATTAGTATTATTTATAATCTTAAATGTTTTTCAATTATAAAATATTGATATTTAAAGAAACGCAGGGATCGGAAGAGATGTAATACAATGAGAAATTACAATTCGAGTTTTGAAAGTAACACACTTTCCGAGAAATTCGCCGTATGAAACTCGAGTGCTTTTCTGCAAGTAGTTTTACTTTCTAAGAGTGTATTGCCTTGCAGGCATCGCGAGATGTCGAGCATGCGAGACTACCAGAGTTCCTCACGGAATTGGACCTGTCGAGTCTCGAGGCATCCGAGGAAGACGTCGAAGCGCTGAAGAAAATCGTGAAAAGGCTGGCGCCCGAGAAGAACGGCGAGTACCAAGTTTACCAAGGTTCTCTCAGAGCTATCCTACTAACCTCGAGACTACATCGCTAATATTTTCTTTTCCGACCTGACTAAAGCGACTCGCTTTTTCTTCCATTGCCAGTCTTCTTCGGTAACGAGGACCTTCTCAAGGAGTGGCTCAAAGGAGCGGGTATTATTATCTTGAACGTGCTTTGCCCTGCATGCTTCATCTTTCTGATGCATCTATTCAAGCACGAGATTCTTCCTTTCTATCACTTATAAAATCAATTGTTTAAATTCTGCGTTTTTAAAATAATTTTAGAATATTTTAAAACGCGCGATGTGTAATATTGTAATTTATCTACTTTGTTCCGCGCTTATTAATTGCTTACTAATTGCAGAGTTTCGGGTAAAATCGTAAATTACGAGCGTAGATCATAAATATGGATAAAAAGTTATGAATAAATATCATACATCTTTGGTCATATCTTTTATCCAAGCATAAAATTAATATTTGTTTATTCCATTTTTTTCATTCTATGGCGTTTCGCATGTTATCTTTTCTCATGTATACATTTGCATCATGTTGTATATTTGTTTTCTGCACGTAAACATAACGTACATACATGTAAATGCTTGGTGCGCTTCTGCAAGGGATGCATTTATGCAGATATTTACTGTAAATTTATCGAAGGCTTGTTCGGCTAGATTTGAAATATTCCGCAAAAGGGAAACGAGAGCATCCGATGCCTGCGCGTCGCTTCTAACCATCTCACCGAAGCGTCAGATATTACGTAAGGCCGTGTAAGCGAAAGTCATTGAGTGCGTGCGAATATCTCGGGACGATCGGACTGCGTTTCTGCTTTCCCACGAGGTGCAATTTTTCGTTTTACGACAATTGTGCTTAGGACGCTTCGTGACTTTCCGCCAAAGTGACAGACTTTCTAAGACTTCGTGCGGCTATTCTTCGGTCGATTTGCTGTTTCTCCAAAACCGTGACGTAATCGCACTGTTATCGTCCGATAAATTAAATTTCAAAAATATTTTCGCATGTATGACGCCACACGACAGGTAATCTATCGCTCATTTATCATCCTTCACAGAAGTGCCGTGATGCGAATTTTAATACACAATCTATATCGCTTCAAAGTTCTCGTTCCGCGGTTGAATTTTGCGGAAAAATCGATGACACGAGCTCGCATGGCTCGTGAAAGCACAACTGATTACATCGCAATATTCATACTTTGGAAGCACGTTCACGAAAACGCGGACTGGGAGAACCGTGTGCGCTTTGATAACACTAAGCGTTATAAAATTTAATAACGCTCCATTTTGTACTCAGACGTGACAGGACAGCCCGGGGTGGATTATCCAGCTCTCACGTCGATCCCAGCCACTTCATTCAGCTGTCGCGGTCTAAGAGGGGGATATTACGCGGATTTAGAGACAAATTGCCAGGTAAGTGGCATCGATATTGTGTATCTCGCTTACAAGATAAATAGTTTGATCAAAACTTTCCTAGAGATGCGCTCACGGATCTGAAACTTGGATAATTGTAAAGGATACTTACAGAAAAATGACATAAATAAATAATAAAAAGTAATCAAATTTAAAAAAATAAAAAAGATTGAAAATTTCTCTGTCTTTTCTTTGTCACTCGAATTATTTTTATAGTAGTTTATTTAGTTAATGAGAGGCATAATATTGATGCTAATTTCAGGTATTCCACATCTGCGACAATGGACGAAAGATCTCGTTCTTGTGTCCCAATGGTACCATCTTTCAACAGTCGCAACTTATATGCGACTGGTGGTTCAAAGTGGACTGCAGCAAGTCCACGGAACTGTACGAGCAAAGCGCCGAACAATTGGCCGAGGAGGAGAAGAAACGTGCGGACGCGAGGAAGATGAAATCTGAGTATCATCGTCCAGTAGAACAGCAGGATAACGCGGATTACTACGAGGCTCAAAACGTCGATTACGACGGCAAGCAAAACGGCAGAATGAATCCATACGGCCAATCTCCCGTCAATCAGAATCAAATTCCGGCGAAGCAGGAATTCAAGTCCGCCCAGCACTTCAAATCGAACAACAATCGAGATTCCGGTCGTTATTTCCAGGAAAACAACGCGAATGCACTACGAACTAACGAGAAAACGAGTCAAACACCCGAGAATTTCAATCAGCAACCGAAACAACGACAGTATCACGACGGTGGCTCGAATTATTCGACGAACAATAGGCAGAGAAATCAGCTGGTGAACACGCAAGGAGACAATAAATTCAACTACGAGCAGGGGAATAAGTTCCAGGATACTCGACAGAATTACCAGAGTAATTCGCAGGATTACCGGCCGGATCAAAATACGCCGCTCAACAACGAGAAGCCAGGATTTAGAGGTACGAAGTCACGTCCGTCGACGCGAAACAATTTGCTCGGCTCCAATCAATCGCAGAAGTCTACGCCGATTTATATGGAAACGACGACCTTCCGAACGACGACCGCGGCACCTCCGAAGGAATATCAGCAGTTTGCGGAAAGCGCCGCATTCGTGTCGAATCGGGGAAATCGCTTCAACTCGGGCAGATCCGAGAGCAATCGGCAGTTCTATTATCATTCCTTTGATTATCAGGATCATTCAACTACGATCGATTATCGCGATCAGGAGACGACCACTTTGACGCCGGAGAGAAACCAGGAGGCAGAAACGGTGTCTTTCACGCCGAAGACGAACGCACCTTCATTCCCGGGACCCACATTCGCTCCCGTTTATAAACCCAAGGCAACGACATTGCCGCCTTATGAAACAACTTTGCAATACACGCCCACCACCGAGACGTCCTTCTACAGCACTTCCTACTACGGACAAGACGATACTCCGGAAACTACCGTTTACGCCAACACCGCGACTGTCACGTCGTCTTCTGTAGATGAATATTCGACCACGGAGTCTTATGCTACGCGAAACGATCTGCAAACTCCTGCCGCGATAGGGAGGGTGCCACCGCTCGCTGGAAATCATCAAAATCAGCAGTACGTTGCTCATAGAGTAACCAATCAGAGGGACACCGATCGCGACACAGCTTCTTACGCGACAACGCGTCCGTATTTAAATACAGAAAGCTATCGACACAATGTACCGGTTAATGTCACGTCGACCGTGAACCACGAAGAGAATCGCAGTGGGACGACTCGGTCCAATTATCAAAGCGAAAATAACATAGCGGATATCGAGACTAAAAGCACAACGAGGGATCCCTGGCGCGCGTCTTCGCAGAGCTTCCGGCAAAACTCGATCAGTTCGACCGAGAAGCCATGGAAAAGTACGAACGTTTATCAGCCGATCGGATCCACTAGTAAGACCTTGAGTCCCTATGACACGAGTTTCACTTACAAACAAGGGAAAGTACTGTCTACCTTAGGTCCTTACATACCGTTCACCAAGAATTACGTTTACTCGACGATGACCACGACTCCGACGCCGAAACCGTCGGCTACCGTGCCGACTTACAGCTCTACCTTGACCAATTATCGCATAACGGCGAGCAATCTTTTGCCCAAGATGAAGTCTTCGTCTCCAGTAACGAGCAAGCCTAGAGACAGAGCGACTTATCTGCCTGAGGCGAGTAGCAAGCGACCAACGACTTTGGAAGACAGGCCTTACACCGAACGGGAACACGCGCTTAGCATGTTGCATTCTCTTCAGGGTTTGGAGAACAACGCGAATAGTCTGAGCGAGATCAAGAAGAGTGGATCCGATCGAAGCGCGCCCCTCCCGCCCGGGCCGTCTACCTTACATTCGTTAGCCCTGTACTTTGCCACAGCTAGTGACAATCTTGACTTGAACGAGACAGTCGAGTCCATCGCGAGCGTCGAGCATCAAGATGGCAGAGAAGACGATTATTCGCGCAACGCGTCTGTCGAGTTACCCATCAACATTCTCACGCAGCACACCATCGCGTCGTACGCCGAGCTGTTCAATCTGAACAATGCCCTCGAGGGAAACGCTACGATCGCCGAATTCGCGGCAGAGATCGATAATGTCGCCAGCGAGATCAATGACGAGGACGATGATCTCGACATCGAGCAGAGCGAAGGTCCAGTGAACGGCGCGAAGAGATCGAATAATACTAAATTGCGCGAGCTGGCCCAGGTCTTCACTCACGCTTTGTCGGCATACTTGCAGGATCCAGACACTTTTAAAAAAGTGCTCACGGAGATTAGGCCCACGCAACCTCCGACGACGACACTCGACGACGGTCAATATGAGACGACATTGTATCCGACCACAGCAGAGGAGTACTCGTCGGTGACCAAAGAGAAGGATGAGGTCCTGGACTTTTCGGATGACACGGATGCATCCAGGAGGCGCAAACCGTCTACCGTATTTCCAACCACTTCGCAACCGCCCACGACCACCGATAGATCGTACTTGACTTATTACACGACGCCCTACGAAGAATATTATTCAACGAGTGAGACGCGCAGACCGATCTACTATCCGAGTACGACGTTGTTACCACCTGGCACTTCATCGCGTGACTCGGAAGATTATATGGAATCGTCGACGCAGAGTGGCAACACGTTCGCCTTTGAAGTCAATCGCGCTTTCACCACCACTACAGGCGACATTAACAATTACGACAGCGACACGAGAGATTCGACTGATCTGTCGCCGGTTTACGATAATTATTTCCCGTTGGATGAAGACGGAAATCGAGATAAGATCAGCAACTCTCGCAATAATACAGCGAGAACCTTCCAGCCATACGGCAAGAACGTCAAGCCCAAGAGCGCTACGCCTATAAGTAATTACGTGTCGTCGTCGACGCTGGCGTCTTTCCAGCCCTCAGGAACGATCTCGTCCAGAGGTTCGGCTAGCGATAAACCTGTCCAAAACCTAACGCCGCCTCACTACCAGCGCTTTGGTAATGTGAAGGTTTTCGAGGTGTCCAATAGCATCGTGCCTAATCAGATACATTCGACGACACCTTTGTCCAGGAGCAAGCCTTCCTACGATACACCTAGCACTACCGTTCAGCCTTTCAGGATACGTTATTATGATTCGACCACGATGCTGCCCGAAGATCGGAAGACCAGTCCCGAGTCTCTGGTCACGGCTCGCAGCTCGTATATCAAGTACAGGAACAGCTACAATCGTATAGAGGGCAACCGCGCGGAAGGTACTCATAAGCCCGTGGAAAATCCGTCAACAACGGCAGCAACGACGATCCGAGACAACGTCGGGACACTAGATCCGATCACCGCGACCGTCGGCGATGTCATTCCGTATACTGCTACCGTTACTCGCGCTACCTCCGGCAAATCATCGTCGTCCAGCACGTCGTCCACCAGGCAGCCCAGTTCGCTGAACAACGATCACTGGACCTCTTCGCCCATGGTCACCCAGTTGTGGGAGACGACGGTGTTCGTGGATCCTCAACACATCAATCACGGTCTACAATCGAGTGTGGACATTGCTAGATCGCCCACTACCGACAACACCATCGAGGGGGAATCGGAACGCACGGCAGCGACTACCACCAGATCCCCGACGTCGTTCACCGAAGTAGACCTCGACGGGACGACGGAAGAACGGACTACCACTAGTACCCCTAGTCCCTGGCAATGGGCGACGAATGGCAACGATTCGCCGATAACGTTCACTCTGCTTCCGACGACTTTTACCGCGGAGAACACAGCGACTCCGACGCCGATCATCACGACACGATCCAGCATCACGACCACAATAACGTCCTCGGTGACGACTAATTCCGTTTCTCGAGACAATCGAGCGTCCACTTTACTGCCGTTCCCGACGAATGCGTTGAATACCACCGAGAACGAGGTGATCAAGGCGCAGGAGATGTTCGGGAAACTGAACGAGACGAGTTCCAACACGCTAATGCGAGTGATGAAGCAGGCCGATAATAATGAAACGGTGAGGCAGCTCGTGCTGTTGCTGATAAGCCATTGCAATGGACCTAGAAACAAGACGACGGAGCAGCAGAAAGAACAGCTGTTAGATGCTCTTCTAAGATTGCCAGTTAACGAGTTTAGTTCCGAAGAATCGCGAGAGATCGTCGCCGGTATCAGCAAACTTAATCTTCCTAGTGGTACGTTATACTACATTCATTAATGATCATTTAGAATGTTATCAAATTTCTATTTTAATTCCCGGCAACATTTTCTACTAGCAACAATAATGTTTTATTTGCGTAAACACTGATATATAATAACTGACATATAATAAACACTGACATATAATAAATATATATTTATTATTATACTGATATATATATTCATTATTATACCAATATATATTCATAATTAAATATATATTCATTATTATACCAATATAATAAATATATATTCATTATTAAACCGATATAATAAATATATATTCATTATTATATCGATAAATATATATTTATTATTATACCGCAAATTTTACAATTAATTAAAACTTGTAGGAAACTGAAATATTATTAATCATATAATCTCTTTATTATTATCTTATTGATGAATAGAGTTTTCAACATAATAAATGTCTTTCGATAACTTTGATAGAATATTAATGTAAGAATACAATAGAATGCTTGGAAAAGATGAAAATTAATATTAGAATATCAAAATATAAAGAATTTACTGCTATTTTTTATTACTGTCTTTAAAATTTCGCTTATAAAACAAGATTTTATTAATTTTATAATAAAAAGATTGCGAAATTTAATATTAAGATAAAAAGAGTCTACCATTTTCTTTTATTATGATTTTTGTGCTATCCTTTCTTTATTAATATTTCAATAAAACCTTTTTGCTTGTGAAATATTATTTCATTAATAGTAATTTTGTTTAGAAAATTGCGCTTTTTCTTTTATTATGATTTTTGTGCTATCCTTTCTTTATTAATATTTCAATAAAACCTTTTTGCTTGTGAAATATTATTTCATCAATAGTAATTTTGTTTAGAAAATTGCGCTTTTTCTTTTATTATGATTTTTGTGCTATCCTTTCTTTGTTAATATTTCAATAAAGCCTTTTTGCTTGTGAAATATTATTTTATTAAGTAATTTTGTTTAGAAAATTGCGCTTTTACTCACAATATAATATTTTTTATTTTCACCATAACTTTCACATTTTTGTAATATATCAATTTATCTCTTTCTACTTTAGTAACTTAAAATGGATTCTATTTTTACGTTCTGTTTACAGGAAAGACACGAGCGGTCATTTTATCAAACTCCACGACGAAGGCTCCACGAGCGTCGTCCGTGAGACCAACGCCATCCGCACCATCCATCACCACCTTCCGTAGTAAAACTGGACGGAGATTCCGAACGACCACGGAGAGTGTCCACAGTTTTGCTAGAAGATCGGACGATGTTGTTCAGACGGACGCAAACAATTCCTTAGCGGAGGACGAGACCATCGTGTCCGACAACCGAGCACTCGAGCTCCTCAGGTCGCTCTACACGATAGCAGCCAAGTGGGGCTGAGGGATCACACAATCGACGACCGATCGGAACTACGCGCGCGTCGGAAGACTCGCGAGATGAATATCTCGCTGGAGTATTAGAAGACGATCCATCTGTCGATACGTATCTCGAAGTAGATCGTTGCTGTCATCGCGTTATCCCGTCTAGCCTAAATTCGAGGAGGGTTCGTAGAGCACGAACTCGGTCAATCGGTTTTGATCTCGGCCCATGAATCGACATGATAAAGAAAAATCTGACGTACGAATGTTTCCTTGAGAGACACGATGATATCGTGCTTCTTATCAATTTGCAACGTGTGATTATCGTTGATTTTGCTATTTTTTGAGAAGAGAAATTCTTGTTCTATTACAATGCTTGATATATACTTACTACGCTTGATTTTTAGAAATTAGATTCGAGCTAAAGTTTCGGTATCTTTAGTCTCGGATCGATAATTACGACAGCGAAGTTCGATTTAACTTGGGGCCGAGATTGACACCCGCGCTCGCGGATATTAAGTAGGTCATGTAACAACCGGTTTTCTCAAAATGTAATCTGTAAACGGCTGCTTGGTACCCGCGATCGAATGTAACTCGTATCGGTTAATATGCGGAGTCCCGATCGATCATCGATCGATAATATCGCGGTATAATAATTAACCGGTTGTAGTCCGACAAGTTGAGATTATGTATTTGTTCTCGCCGTCTCTTTTATTAAGAATAAAACATCGATCGCCTTGAAATATCGGTAACTGTTACTTGCAAAAAATGCCTGCCATACTCTTCGTCCTTCCTGTTCAATGACTTTTGCGTGAATGCTATCGTGTATGAATATTCAATTTAACTCTCTCGTTATCAAATGAAATAATTTAATAAAGAATTAATAAAAAATTTTAATGAGAGATAAAGATTTTTTTTTTATTTCATTGACAAACAATTTGACGAAAATTTATGTAATCCTTCCATTTAAGTCTGCTCGATCCTGTCATATTTGGAATAAATAATTGAATTTGATTGTTGATGTCTACAACACGAGAGAGACATACAAAGTGGTTATTATACTCGAAATTACTCGTGTAAAACAGTGAATGTGCATACCAGCATAAAGGGATTTGTATGACTCATCCGCTTCGTTCTTCTCATAATATTGCCAAGTATATCAAATTGCTATTCGTGTTTGTTAAATAGCACGAAATTGGCGGAATGTGTGATGGAACGTGAATTGCACCGTACGCTTATGGTTATTCGTACCGGTTTGACTCTAGACGTGACACAATTTCGCCCTTTCCTCGCGTATCTTTCCAATCCCAGGTCCTCCTCTGAAATTCGCGTCAGCTCTCAGATACCGTATTAATTCCCATCAGTGGAATTAAATTGATATTCACGGGTTGTGTCGTACGAACCCTCCGTCGTCCCGGAAAAACCGCTGTCGAACTGTTGTTACGTTCAGTATTATGAAAAGACTCCCGGAAGAGGATCCGCCCAGCATCCACAGTGGCGCGGATTCGCCAAATTATTTATTCTATATCTTCGCGACTTCTATCGCGATTCCTATGTCCCGATTAACAGTAAGCTACTTGTATCTTTCATGAAATTACGGTGTTGGTAACGTTCTCTTTCGTCTGGGCATTTCGAGATCGGCGATGCTCCTTCGTCGCGATCCCGAAATGTCCAAACGGGATTTCTAGGTCATTATTTAAGTACCGCGACTTTTAGCGACTTGTAGCCGTATCGACTTTATGTAATATACCTTTGTACAGTATGTGAATAAATATACAGGGTTTTGTTTACCTGTGTTTTGCCTGTCAAATGTTCCTCTTATAATACTTTTATTGATACTTCTTTTATACACATTTCTTTATTTACACTCTTCACATTCTACATGAAACCGCGTCACAGTTCATTACCAACATCGTTCTTAAAAAAGTGCACATGCTATATTTATTGCGTTAAAATTGTAATAAATGTGCAAAATATGTCGTTTGATCCTAATTCAATTATAATAAATGTTATATTTACTTTTGATATTTGTGTACTTTGAAAATTTAAAGATAGAATTTTTAATAGACTTTTAATTGAGATTTAATTGATTCATAAAATATGACTGAATATTTTAATATTATATTTTAGCAATTTTTTATAATATCTTTGATTAAAAATTTTGATGTTTTTGGTGAAATATGTGACATAAATTTAAATTCGCTGCTTGTGATAAGGAAAACATCATTAATGAACTAAAATACCGAAGTAATTAAACTCTTTAGGAAATCATTTGCGCCTTAAATATATAAATCGTTGTAGAAATGTCAACACGAGAATGCTAATAATTCAGAAACGCAGACTAATGAAGGCCATTAATGTTTTTGCGAGAGGGTCCTCGAAAGAAACGACCATGATCCTTGACAATTGCACAAACGTCGAAAGGAGAGAAGAGATCTTTCCTCTTTGTCCTGCCTTGTCATACATCCTCTTTTACATCCGGTTATTTGTATACATATGCACAGACATGTGTTTATTTGCAGAAGTTTCACAATTTTGCGAATACTAATAGATGATCGGAGATGTTTGGAATTGAGTTAGATAATAGGAGACACTTCAGCATTGAATTTAAAAATAATTTAATGTGTATTCCGCAATCGATAGAATCTAACAACATCGTAAAAGAGTCGCAAAGAGATTTCCGTAACGCGTCATAAAACGCCTGAGAGAGTTGGTATCATTTCGACCGATTTAACGAAGAGACGAGGTAAGTGAAATATCGTGCGAAATCGCAGCCGGGTCGAAGGTCATTGCAAATGACTGATTAAAATTTCTAGATGTGTGTATTTCGTTGAAATCAAATCATTGCAAATAGAATGCCAGTTTTTTTCTATAAAATGTTACAAGATTATTCTAAAGATTATAATTTTCCGCATCGTTTTCGATCGCTTCAATAACTCGCCAGAAGCGACAGATCGCGAACTTTCCAACAATAAATGGTAAAATCAAATGGTGAAATCAAGACAAGCAGAAATAGTTCGTGTTATATTTTTATGTTGGATTATCTTACATAACTTTTCTTATTTAAAGTCATACGGATGATAGATAATTATAGTTTAGTAAATCTTTTTAAATATTTTAAAAATAAGATAATATAATCAAGCCATTCCTCTAAATATTCCTTCAAAAATATTCCAGAAACAGATTCCCAGTTATCTTCCACAAAAATAATTATTTAAAAATTTCAGAGATTTTTGGATAAAAAGTGATTTGAATAAAATAGTCAAAACGTGATTATAAACGAATTTAAGTTGGCCAACTTTTAAGACATGGAATCTTTTGAATTCAGGTATATATCCTGTGGCGCAACTTTTGCCTTGCAATGCGAAAGGACATCCGCCTTCAGCAAGACCGAGACCGATTCGCCGCCTCGACGCAAGATATTCAAATTAATGTCCGGAGATTGGTATCCGAATGAAGAATTACAAGAGGCAGGAAGAAGATTCTTGCCTTCTCCCTTGGAACATCTTGCTTTTTCCGCAAACGTAAACAAAACCATCTGGAAACGTAATTATGCTTGAGCGAGCATCGTGTTCATTCATAAAAATGTAATATTTATGTGTAATGATATAATGAATAATTATGATGTAATATTCAAGATATCTCTCAGAACTTCAGCTTCACTTTCTGTCGCCACTTCCTATATGTAATACTTCTCTTAGCTTTTATGAAAATCTATCTTTCCACAAGATTCAAAAATATGAATACGTTATCGTATTAACGAGAGATTTATTTACATAATCACAGCCTGTCAAAATTATCGTTAAAAATTTGCAAAGGATAGATAAGCATTATTTTCCAACATTCACAAATGTACGTAAAATAACGCTTTAAGACCGAGTACGTTCAAATACCACGCAAGATTCAAATATGAAGTAATGATAGTCACTATCGGAATAGCAATTTTGCGTAATGGACGGTAACACCGTGTGAACATGTGCGAATGCTAGTGACGGCGAATCACAAACACACTGATCCTTCTTTGAAACCTGTGAAAAAAAACTGCGTATAAAATGAGCAGAACTAGATCGATATATAATCTGTCGTAAGAGCGACTGATTTGGAAATTCACTGGCGGGATAAAAAAGGTCAGAATTATTTATTTCTTTTGGAATGAAAGATGTTGATTCTTTCGCTCGTCTAACATTATACACTGACCTAGTCCTTTTCTGGACAAAAATTGCGTAAGGATTTGATTATGTACCAGTAATAAATATGCATGCTTTTTGCAATATTTATAGTTCATGCGAATTCTCTCTCTAATTGTTTCAATAATTGTTTTAATTGTAAAAATACAATTTTATTATTAGATACCTATTTTTTTGGAAAATTTCTTCTCACAAGTTTTAATTTTTACTTAGCATTATTTTAAATACTAGTGCAATAATCAGGAAGCTCCTTCTTCTTATTTTACAATAGATTCTTATTTCACATAATTTATTCTTTTTTACAAAAGTAGACAATTAAATGTAATTGTTTTACATAAAAAGGGCTTAAATAAATCTTTCTCGGCAGGTTTTTCCAACATTCGGATGACTTTCAGACGATTTTCATAGCCCATGCGGGACATCTGAGATCGAGGCCGGTCCGATTCCAAACGTGGATCTCCCGTACAATTATCTTCGCGCTCTACTGGTGAGGCGGTAAAAGGTCGTCGTTGATGCAATCGACCACGATATACCCTGCAGAGTACGCGGTTAGATTACGGCGTATTGGCCAATTGCCGGAGCTCAATTAACGCTTTTTAGTTTTACGAGTATTTATTGGTCGGTTTGTAATGTCGAGTGACGAGTGGATTATTGTTTCGATATGAATCGTTTATTCTGTGCCTCGTGCGGAAGCTTGACACAGAATAAACGATTCATATTAAAATTGTGCGTATGTTCATCGATATACTTATATAAACGCACATATTTATATGATAATCGTGCGAGGAGCATTGACAGTTATATCGTTGTTTACGCTATTCATAAATGCAGAAAATATCGTTCTTAGATACGTTTTTCGATAAAAAGGAAAAGAGGAAGCATATGTGAAAGAGAAAGTAATTTATGTAAAGAATTTTTTGAATCCAATTTTTATCTACGGTGGACATAGCATGTACATGTATCCTTCTTAATAAAGCTTGAATAATTTTTCATTTAGCACATTCGTGTTCTTTGCATTCATCGCGTGTTAAGAAGATTAAAAGGTTAAAGCTATTAACCAGCTATTACAGTTAAAGATACAATGTTTTTTAGAATCAAGGATTATGATTTACATTCCTGTTGATTATAGAGATTATATTACTAGCTTTTAAGTAGAGTTTTATTTAGCGAGGTGCCATCATTAAATTTGTTAAAAAATTGCCGCAGCAAATTGCATTAATTGTTTTAATTCTCTCTAAAAAAAATCGAATTAAAATTCGTAACAAGATATTTTCTTTCCTCTTAGCAATCATTAAAATATGCAGCCATTAAAAGTCTACGTGCGCACATGCCACTTCGTAAATTATTACGACGGTTAAAATGAGCCTTAAGTGTCTATGTATGACGGAGTTGCACAAAATAAATTTTCCGCGCGCATTTATATAACTGGGATAAAAGCACACATCCAAACATTAATGATGATAACACGAAAGCTCAATTACATGCGCCCAAAAGGTATATTTTGCGATGGACCGCGTGCCATTTCTCCGACCAACGCTTTCACCGCATATGCATACCGATTCGGATCACTGCTTCTTTTTACTACTGATGACAGTGTGTTACCGAATCTCGAGCGATCCTGAGATAGAGAAAAGAAAAAGAAATAATAGTAGGGGCACGATTGAAGTAATAGCGCAAGACGAGCAATTAAATCGTAATCCCAGAATCACTCTTCCTCGATCACTTTCGTCGAACGCAAATGCCAAATGATTCTTCTTCGTCTACTTTACGTATCGAGAGGTAAAGTGAATCTATTCTAGTACGTTAGAGAGCATTCTCGACTTCTTGATTATATCTCTTATGAACGAATTATTTCTCATATAAAGATGTTCTTTATATGTGTATTTAGTGCCGAATACGCGTCTGTATCATTCTTGGCATACGATCGTCCAGGGTTGGGCATTCACGTCTTTTAACACATGGGAAACAATTGGAATGCGGTTTTGCTCAATACAAATCAACGGAGAAAGTTATTATAACGAACGAATAATGTAATGACGAATTGTTGAAAAAAACGAAGAATTTGTAACTGTAGAAAAATATATATAAATAATTAGAATACACATAATCTCTTTTATTATTGTGGGGGAGGAAAGGATATTTTATTCTTTAAAATAAATGATGTTTAAATTATCAATTAATATATAATTTGTATAAAGATAAAAATATGAAGACAATTGAACTTTTAAATTAAGTCTCGAAGATCCTATTTTTCGATTTAAGCTCTTACTTTATAAATGATACTCGGCTTTTTAACTCAATACTGTTCTCCAATTGAAAATCAGAAAAGCGTATTGCTATAATTTCTATAATTCCATGCAATTGAACAATTCTTCTCACCTCAGTAATCAAATAAAAAGTCCCGCTATTCTCGTCGAGAAATCAATCAAGACCGGCTTTATTTCAACAATGAAATTAAAAGGCCGCCGATCCGGCCGGAAGAGCAAACATCGTTCCTTTCTCTTCGGAATGATTAAGAAGAAGCAGAAAAATCCTCCTGTGCACATCCCGTGGCATTATTCTCCGCGTCATAATTTATGCGAACAACGACATGCGGCGATCCCGGCGTTACCCCC